ATAATATCTAAATGTCCTTGTTTTCTTAAAGCCACTTTCTTTCCTTTTGCTCCAAGTCACATGTCATTTAACCCAGTCAAAGTCTTCACTCCTGAATTATCCCCTCTACCTCCTAACAACTGGACCATGGCCAACATTAAAATAGAATTTAATAGGTCCCATCTTTAAAAGCAAAGCCTTGGTCATTAAAATGACATCTTTGCTTTTTACCCTGAATTTAAACCTGAGTCAGGTGCTCCAGTTCTCATTGACTGGGACTTGGTAAACTTGAAGTCAGAGACAGTGTTTTGTTTGCCATTAAAAACCATGGGCCTAGATCAGGAAATGACCTGTAGTAGTTATATAGTAAATATCAGTTCAGTATAAGGTAGGCTTCAAATACATACTTGATTTAAATTATTTTCCCCTTTAGGGTTCTCAGTACTTCAAGAGGAGGTATGCACTGCACAGCACAAGCAGAAAGAGGAGCAGCTTGTGTCTAAAGAAAGCGAATCCTGTGACCAACCGCCCATCGTCTCAGAGGAAGATATCTCTGTTGGTTATTCCATGTTTCAGGATTGCATCCCCAAAACTGAGGGGGACAGCTCAGCAGTCGAGCTCTTACCCCAAACTGAAAAGGAGCAAGTTCAACAGGATTTCTCAGGGAAAATGCAAGATCTGACTGAAGAGTCATCTCTTGAACATCAGCAGGAATACTTGTGAGTATCAAAAAAAGCTTGGTAACTGTAATTGCAAAGAAACAAACCAGTCTCAATAGGGTAGTAGGCATGTAAACCAAAAATCCATTGCTGTTGGGTTGATTCTGGTAATGGATTTTTACAACCCAGTAGACTGGAGGAGAACTTCTCCCTAGGTTTTCTTAGACTGTAAATCTTTATGGAAGGAGACTGCTTCATCTCTCTCCTGTGGAGCAGCTGGCAGGTTCACACCTTTTGGTTAGAATTAGCTAGAAGCTCACTACTTAATCGACTAGGCATATATAAGCAAAAGTGATTTTTCAGATCTTTTTTAAAAGAAACTCACAGACAACAAATAACAAGACTACGGTGGGTGTTGGGGTGTGCGGGGAGGCAAAGCACTTAAGAGCCAAACGAATAATATTGGCACAGACTGGCTTGAACCAGCTTCCAGCTGTGTTACTTTGGGCATAGCTCTATGCCTTTTATTTATTTTTTTCTTGTACATTTTATTTATCTTGTTGTTGAGAATACACATAGCAAAAAAGCATCAGTGCAATAGTTTCTACATGTACAATTTAGAGACATTGATTATATACTTTGAGTTGTATAGCCATTCTTACCCAGCTTTTCTGTGGTGTCTCTCCCTTATTAACATAAACTCACTGCCGCTTAAAGTTCCCATGTAATAATTTTTCAATTTACTTTTGTCAATTTGATCCATATGTTGTTGCTGTTGATGTTAGGAGCCATGGAGTTGGTACCAACCCATGGCAACCTTATGCACAGCAGAATGAAACACTGCCCAATCCTGCCCCAACCTCACTACTGTTGCCATGCTTGAATCCATTGATGCTGCCACTTGGCCAATCCATCTCATCAGGGGTCTTTCTGTTTTTCTCTGAGCCCCCATCTTACCAAACATGATATCCTTCTCTAGTGACTGGTCCCTGCTGACAATATGTCCGAAGTATGAGAGACAAAGTTTGACCATCTTGGCCTCCAAGGAACACTCTGGCTGCACTTCTTCCAAAATGGATCTATTGGTTCTTTTGGCAGCTCATGACACTTTCAATATTCCCCTCCAACACCATACCTCAAAAGCACCAATTCTTCTACGGTTTTCCTTATTCACTGTCAGCTTTTGCATGCATGTAAGGATATTTAAAATACCATGGCTTGGGTCAGGCTCACTTTAGTCCTCAAGCTGACATCTTT